TGGAGAGGTTTTTGCTATAGGGCGTGTGCGCTCGCCAGAAAGACAGAGACAGAGACAGAAAGTGAGAAAACACTCCCCAGGGGGGATGACACACCGCCAATCCCTTCTCCTCCATTCTCCTCTTGGGATCTTGGGCACGCACGCACACGCACCCAATGTGAGTTTAAGTCACTGGGTCTGGGACTCGAATCGCGGTCGACTACATGGGAGTTCAGTGACATAGCCATTACGCTAACTGCTGGTTCCCAAGCTTCAGTAAGAGCTTTAAAATTAAGTTATTTGGGGGCCAGCTAGTAGTATTTTGGCCCCTCAATCTGAATAATTTCTAAATTGTTGGGGTTGCAGGTGGCGTGGTAGTTGAGGTGCTGGACTCCCACATGGCCAACTGTGGTTCAAGTCCTGGGCCCGGTGACTTGCTTTTTCATTTTCTCTCTCTCTCTCTCTCTCTTTCTCTCTCTCTGTGTGTCTCTCTCTCTGATTAAATTAAAATAATAATGATGAATAAAATTAAATCAATAATTATTTTTCCAATAAATAAATAATTTCTAAATTCTCAACTTTAAGCAATTGTCATCAGTTTTTAAAAACTCAGTTTTGAACATAAGATTTGCACAATTAACTTTTATTTCCTAAATCAAATACGCTCCCATGATGAGAAGGGCTGTGGTTGTACATGCCCCTACAGCCCTAATACACATCCAGAAGTCCCAAGTCCAGCAGCAGGAGCAGTGCTGAACTACTTTTCCTGTTTATTTTCTTGGTCATGGAATAAACCAAAAGGATAAAACAACGCAGGATTGTTGGGGCCAGCAGGTGGCATAGCAGTTAAGGGCCTGGACTCCCACATGGCTGCCCATGGTTTGAGTCCCAGACCTGATGGCTTGAAAGTCACAACAGTGCATGTGCGTGCGTGCCCCAAATCCCGAGAGACTGGAGGAAATGGAATTACAGCATGGTCATTCCCCCTGGGGGGTGATTTTTCACATTCCCTGTGTCTCTATCTCTTTCTGTCTCTCTCCAGTGAGAGAGAGACACATGCCCTATGGCAAAAGTGTTAGAAAACAAGGGAGGACCGGCAGGCGCTACAGTGGTTAAAGTGCTGGACTCACACTTGGCCCGCAGCATTTTGAGTCCCGGACCCAGCGGCTTGAAAATCCTGCTGGGCGTGTGTGTGTGTGTGTGTGTGTGTGTGTGTGTGTGTGTAACCCAAATCCCAAGGGGGAGGATAGAGAGGAAAACACTGCAGTATGGCCATTCTCCCTGGAGGGTGATTTCTCACTTTCTCTCTCTCTGTCTCTCTCGTTGTCTCTCCAGCAAAAATCTCTCAAAACAAAAAAACCCACAGGTTTGCCGACAATACCTTTTGAGAATTAGGAAACATAAAAAGCTTACAAAGATACGGGATTAAAACAAACAAACAAACAAAAACAAAGCACTTGTAAAAATGAGCAAGTCTAAACTTGAGCAATTAACTGATTTGATATAAATGGAAAGTCAGAGATCTTCCCATTCTGACCTAAATGATTTTATGAAGAGGCATAAACCTAATGTGCTTACAGCCCCCACAGAACCATACGACCCACACTACCAGTACAAAATAATTAGGTCTCAAAATTAAATTCATTCATTTTGGCAGATCACGTTACCTCGTTGGACGTCAACTGTCATTGCTGGATTTATCAGAGAAAGCGCGCCCCGGGGCTCGTGTCTATATCTGGGCTTAAATTACACCAGTGGAGAAAATACGTATCCGTATAAGTGTGTTCCACAAAACGATGGGAAACATTTCCAGGCTTTCTTACCCAGCTCGAACTGAATCAGACTTCCCACTGAACAAATCTACGACAGCACACAGATTTGCCGGTGTTGCTTTTCATGGCACAACACTGCCTTGCCCCCGACACGTGTCAGAAGGCAGCCTTCCTGAAAACGCATTCATGGGTGTCTACCCCACTTGTTAACGGGAAAATCATGATCTGGCGTTTACACTTGTTTAAAGACTGCAGATAGAAATCTATTTCCGGCATGAACACTCACTGTCTCAATGTTGAAGAAACCAGTAATAATGGAAACAGCTCAGTCAAGTCTGGAAGTGCCAAGTTATTGCCGCCCAGGTCTTCACAGGGGACCACTGAACTGCAGCACGACACCCACGCCGCCCTGGGAAGCCTTGGCCTCGGCCAGCCACAGACGCATCGCTCACAGTGTTAGGCTCACCTTCGCTCTTTTTAAACTAACCCTCAGAAGCAAATTAATGACACTGCACTACACTGCTTTAGTGATGTGAGTCCAAAAGTCTCAATTCCGTAAATAAGAACTCAGTCTTATTTTAAGAAAATATCTGTTACACATTATTGTGTAACTCACAAACCAATCCAAAATGAGGGCAATGGGTACATGACGTTTTATCCTTGGGACATGCCAGCCCGCCAGGAGCACATGCAGTCACCTCTCTGTGTGACAAGCCCAATGCCCTTTAGGGTTAGTGGCCACTAAGAGCCACAGGTTAACAGAAATAGAGTAGTAGTAGTAGATAAAGTCAGAAATCAGACCATTTAGAAGGTGCTGTGCTTTCTTAGGCATTATCAAACTAAAATGAAACAAAATCAAAAGCTTCAGCGACAACAGGTGGCATGATGGTTAGGCGCTGGATCCCACACACCCAACTCTGCAGTTCAAGTCTTGGACCCAGTAGTTGGAAAAACAAATTGGGCAGACCAGCAGGTGGCCTAGTGGTTGGGACCTTGGACTTCCACACGCTTGACTATGGTTCTGGTCCCAGACCTAGGAGCTTGGGAGTCATTCGGGGCAGATGTGAGTGTGTACCCAGAATCCTGAGAGGAGAACGGAGGAGAATGGAGAAGGGACTGTGGTGTGGTCATCCCACTGGGGGGTGATTTCTCACTTTCTTCCTCTCTCTTTCCAGTGTGTGTGTGTTATGGCAAAAAATCTTGAAAGAAAAGAGAGAAAAGAAAAACATGCAGGGCGTGTGTTTGTACATGCCCAAAATCCTGAGAGGAGACAGGAAGACAAGGGACTGCAGCGTGATTTCTCACTTTCCCTGTTTCTCTCTCTGGCAAGTGCACATACTCTATGGCAAAAAAAAAAAAAAATCTTTTTTAAAAAATTAAATAAACTAATTAAATAATTAAGAGATTTGCCATTTGAGGTCTTATGGAACCCCAGCTTGAAAAACAAGTTTATCTTCCTTTCAAGGTCTGGGGCTCAAACCTCAGCTGGCTATGTGGGAATCTAGCATCTTAAACACCATGCCAACTGCCAGCCCGAAAATGATAGAATTTTATTTTATTTTACTTTATTTATTTTGAGAGACAGACTTTTGCTACAGGGCGTGTGCGCTCACCAGAGAGGACAGACAGAAAGTGAGAAATCACTGGTCCTGGGGGGATGGCCACGCAGCAATCTCTTCTCCTCCACTCTACTCTTAAAATTTTGGGTATGTACGCCCATGCACCCAGTGTGAGTTTTAAGCCACTGTGTCCATGACGCGAATCTTAGTCAACTACATGGGAGTTCAGCGATGTAATCATTACACCATCTGCTGGTCCCCTTACTTATATTACTTACTTATATTCTTTACTTACTTAAAGAATGATTTCATTTAATTTTTATTCATCATCATTCTTGTTATTTCAATTTGACCATAGAGAAACAGAGACAAAGACAGACAGAGAGAGGGAAAGTGAGAAAGCAAGTCACCAGATCTGGGACCCAAGCCACGGTCGGCCATGTGGAAGTCTAGCGCACTTAATCACCACACCACCTGCTGGCCCCTAAATGAAAGAATTTTCAAAGAAATCTCAAATCTAAGTATGACCTAGGAAACCTGTTTTTTTTTTTTTTTAATAATTATCTTATTTAACTTTACTTAATTCCTTTTTTTTTTTTTTTAAATTTGACCAGAGAGGAACAGAGTGGAGGAGAGAGAGATAGAAAGTGAGAAGGCAAGCTGTCAGCTCCCGGGACTCTAACTGAGGTCGGCCATGTGGGAGTCCAGTATACTCAACCTCCACATCACCTGCCAGCCCCAGAAACCTATATTTTTTTTTGAGAGTTTTTCTTTTCTTTTCTTTTCTTTTTTCTATAGGGTGCATGCGTGCACCAGAAAGACAGAGACAGAGAGACAAAAAGCGAGAAATCACCCCCCAGGAGGGATGGTCACGCTGCAGTCCCTTCTCTTCCATTCTTCTCTTGGGATTTTGGGCACGCACGCACATGCACCTGGCGTGAGTTTAAGCCACTGGGTCCGAGACTCGAACCATGGTCAGCTACATCGGAGTCTAGCGATGCAGCCATCACATCATCTGCTGGTCCCCCCAGAAACCTATTTTTAAAAGGTCTCTCACCAAAGAAAAACATAACATCAATCTCTACTTAGAGACACATGAATAAAAAGCACAACACAGAAGATTTTTTTAAAGTCTGCTTATTTATTTTTTTCCATGAGACAGAGAGAGAAGCATGGGTCATAGCATGAGGATCCTGCTGGAGTCGCCTCTCCTCCCTCACTGTCTCTCTCTCTCATGAAATGAAGGAACGAATGAGAAAAGCAAGTAAAGATTCACGGATTCCCACCCAGCCACGGTTCTCAGGGCACACACGCTCACAGCTCACCTGCTATCTTTACCTGCTCCCCAGGGGCGACCTCCACATCCACCCGTGTTGTCTTCATTTCTGATTGCTCTAGAGAAAGAAAAGATTCGCTTAAATTGGAGGCTTTAATGTTTAAAGTTGACAAAAGCTGTTCCAAACCCAGCTCCTCACATGAGTTACAGCATATGAATGTACACTCAGTATTACCACACAACGCATGCAGACCACGTACCACCCAACTCCTAAAACCAAAGCAGCATTTACAACGAAACTTACATTCTCTCGTTCCCACCGTATCTGTCAAATTCTCGTCTTCCTCTCTGGTCGAAAGAGTCAAAAGCTCTGTTCCCAGGACCACCTCTGCCTCTGCCTCGCATCCCCCCTCTCGGGCCGCCACGTCCTCTCAGCGGTCTGTCCCGATCAAACCTGTCAGCTGGCCTAGGAAGAGACAGGACATGTAACCAGTGGGGCATCAATTACAGGTCTAAGGCCTTTTTGAGAAAAATAATTCTAGGACATGCTAGCTAGAATACATGGGAAAGAACGGCGGCCTGGATAATGGACAGTCAGCCTCACTGAGCACATACTGTACCTGGCTCTGCTCTGAGCCCTTTATCCACGGGGGACCAGATTCCCACAAACCAGCCTATCCTGCACAACCACTGCACACAGAGCAGGAAACTAGAGTGGGGAGTAGGCAGGTAACCTGCCCAGGGTTGCGGAGGTACTAAGTGGAGCAGCCCTGGCTCCTCCTGTGTCCCCGCCTCACAAACTGACAGGGAACCCAGCATGCTCTTCCTCCTCCTTCCCGTGACGCCTCCAGGCCCCAGACCTAGGGCCACAACTGCTCTTCACCCCGCCCTGCTGTTAGGTCACTGGTCTCATCCCTCCCTGTGAGGACTTGCCTTTCCTCCACTAGCATCTAAGTTATTGCAGAAAAGGAGCTTATTTTATTGTATTTTTTTTTGAAAGGTTTTTGCTATAGGGTGCGTGCGCTCAACAGAAAGACAGAGGGACAGAAAGTGAGAAAACCCCCCCCCAGGGGGATGGCCACGCCACAATCCCTACTCTTCCATTCTCCTCTCGGGATCATGGGCACGCACGCACACGCGCCCAGTGTGAGTTTAAGCCACTGGGTCCAGGACTCAAATCGCAGTTGACTACATAGGAGTCCAACAACATAGCCATCATGCCAACTGCTGGTTCCAGAAAGGAGCTTATTTGAAAAACCATGATAGCTCTACTTTATTAAGATAAATATTGGTGGGACCAGCAGTTGGCATGATGGACTCCAACATGGCAGACTGCAGGTCCTGGACCTGGTGGCTTGAAAATCACACTGGGCATGTGTGCGTGCGTGCTTAAGATCTGGAGAGGAGAATGGAGCAAAAGGGATGGTGATGTGGCCATTCCCCGGTGTGTGTGTGTGTGTGTGTGTGTGTGTGTGTGTGACTTCTCACTTTCCCTTTCACTCTGTCTCTCTGGAGGGCACACGTGCCTTAAAGCAAAGTCCTTTAAAAAAAAAGTTAGAGGGACCATCAGGTAGCATAATGGTTATGTCGCTGGAATCCAACACAGTTGAATGAGGTTCGAGTCCCGGAGTTAGTGGCTTAAAACTCATGCTGGTCTCATGTGCGTGCGTGCCCAAGATCCTGAGAAAAGAATGGAGGAGGAGGGATTATGATGTGACCATTCCCCTTTGGGGTGATTTGTTTTTTTTGCTTTCTGTCTATCTTTCTCTGTCTCTCCAGGGAATGCATGCCCCCTATAGCAAAAATCGCTCTCTTAAAAAAAAAAAGACTAGTTTTGCTACTGATTGAAGGTGGCAACATGTATTTGGGCATCTGAACTATCATTTCCTTATTTCCACAGAATAAATTCCTGAAGTGAGAAAAAAAAACAATGCTTCCAAAAATAAGCGGCTCTGATCCAAGAGGCTCTTCATAAACAAGCAGACTGTGACCATGACATGGCAAATCTGAAGCAATCACCGGAAAGAGAAGCAGAATGAAGCCTCCGTGTCTCCCGACCACCAGCCTCAGCGTGGTGGCAGTCCGCCATCCAGGCGTTCGAAATGCGCAGCGTCTGGGTGGCCGACAGCTTTGGGAACAGCTTCCAGCTCTCAGACTGAGCTACCCTCTGCTGCTGAGCTTCTCCTTTCTCGTCCGGTTTTAGTAGACTCTAGAGCGCAGTTTCGCAAAGCCATGCTCTTCAGTTAAAACTTGTAGCCAAGATCCGACATGGAATCCGTAGTCATGAAACTGAAAGACTTTGGGAATAACAGCTCCCTTGACACTCTTCTCGTCTTCATAGCCTTTTTTACTTTATTTTCCTTTAAATGTGATGCACTAGTTGGTTCTGTTTCAACTGAACTCTGTGCTAGGGAGGTTTACCGATGAAACAGAAGCGTGAGGCAGCACACGTCCATCTTGCTAGCGCTGAGTATGAGGCACGCACCGCTGCTACCTGTGCACAGGAGGGGCACGGGCAGCCTGCACTGCTACAGTAGCTCTCGGGAGAAGCACAAGCCTAAGACCACCTTAGAACTTTCTAGAGAAGGTATGTGAGCCGGAAATAGGCATTACATCATTTCTTCACATTTCATCATGATAGCCTACGGACCTGATCATGAAGCTAGGAATTTGTTTAAACTGTTTAGTTGTCTAAAATTAGTAATGCTAAATCAAAACCGTAATTAGGGACCAGCAGTTAGCGTAATGGCTATGTCGCTGAACTCCCATGTAGTTGACTGCAGTTCGAGTCCTGGACCCAGTGGCTTAAATTCACACCGGGCACGTGTGCATGCATGCCTAAGATCCTGAGAGGAGAATGGAGGAGAAAGGATTGTGGTGCGGCCATCCCCCCCTGGGGGTGATTTCTCATTTTCTGTCTCTCTGTCTCTCTGTCTTTCTGGTGAGCACACACGCCCTATAGCAAAAACTTCTCAAAAAAAAACCCCAAAAAAACCCCCATAATTATATCACTATTCTAGAACTTCTGGAGAAAATGTAAACAGTTCAACACACTCCCATGTAATTTCTTTCTAAGAGTTTGTTCATAGTTACCAATAAACAATTCTTTTTTTTTTGAGAGAGAGAGAGATTTTTGCTATAAGGTGAGTGGGCTTGCTAGGGAGAGAGAGAGAAACAGAAAGTGAGAAATCACACACCCCACCCCCCCCCAAGGAGGATGGCTATGCTACAATCCCTTCTCCTTCTCCTCCCAGAATCTTGGGCACGCTTGCACATGCACCTGGTATGAGTTTGAAGCCACTGGGTCCAGGACTTGAACAGCAGTTGGCCATGTAGCAGTCCAGTGATGTAACTGCTACACCACTACTGCTGGTCCCAAACAATTCATTTTTTAAAAAGCATTCTTTCGAGCCAGCTGGTGATGTGGTGGTTAAGGTGGCTGGATCCCATATGGCCAACTGAACAGTTCAAGTCCCAGACCTGACAGCTAGAGAGGCATGCAGGGCATGTGCGCAGGCCCCAAGTTCTAAGAGAATGGAGAAGGGACAGCAGCGTGAGCATCTCCCTGGGGTGCTTTCTCACCTCCCGCCTTCTCTCTCTGGCAAACACACACTCTATAGCAAATTTTAAGGGGAAAAAAGGTTCTTTTTCCATAGTTTATTTTTTCCATGACCAAGAGAGACAGAGAAGGGAAGACAGAGAAGAGACAGAGAGATAGCAGCCCCACTACTGAAGTCGACCCCAGCTGTATCCAGCCATTGATTGTGGGCACACGTGAGCCCGGTACTCAGAGGTCTCCAGACACAAAGCTGGAACCTCCCACGTGGGTCCACCTGGTGGAGTGTCACATTTTACTACCGTGCCACTGTCCCGCCCCCAGTACTTCATTTTAATTATACGGTTGTTTCCTGAATCAAGGCACAAGGTCATGCATGAAGTTAACAAGATTCTCATGTATCACATGAATAACGAGTTGCTGCTTATACTGGCAAAACATTGCAAGGACTGGCACTACAGAGGCCGGGGGATAGTAATTATCTGAGCCCTCCGCCCTGTCATGGCTGAGGACGCAGTACGTACTTGTCATCTGTAAACTTCTCGGCTGCGGCGCCCCCCTGCCTCTCGGTCTCGTACGGCCGGTATTCCCTGTAGGACCTCCGTTCTGCTCTGTCCAGTGCCACCTCTGTCCCCCGGCTATCATTCCATCCTGCTAGCTCCCCTCTTCTGGAAGCGCGTTTCGGGCCTGCTGGTGGAAATTAAGAGCAGAGAGCTGGAACACAGGGCCTATGATGGCACAGTGACGAATACCAGAGGCATTTTGAAATTTCACTGTTCTGGGGGCCAGCAGGTACTATGGTGGTTAAGGCACTAGACTCACACAAGGCCAACTGCAGTTCAAATCCCAGACCTGACCTGGCAACTTGAAAATCACACAGGGCATATATGCAGGCTACCCAAAATCCCAAGAGAAGACTGAAGAAGAGAATGCAGGCATGGCCATCCCCCCAGGGGTGATTTCTCACTTTCTGTCTTACTGTCTCTGTCTCTCCAATCTATAGCAAAAAAAATCTCTCAAAAAAAAAAAAAAAGGAAAAATAAATTTCACTCTTGTAGAAATCAATGTCATAGGAAAATTCAGGAACTTTGGAAATTTTCAGAGATGAAACTGTTGATACTACTGCTGCCAAGAATCTGCCTTTTTTAAAAAAAGAATTATTTAATTTTGTTATTATTATTTTAAAAATTTAACGAGAGAGAGAGAAAGCGTAAGTGAGAAAAAGCAAGATGCCAGGTCCAGGACTCGAACCACGGTCAGCTGTATGGGAGCCCAGTGCCTTAACCACCATACCACCAGCTGGCCCTGAGCCTATGCTCTTTTTTTAAGAATTGTTTTTTTTAACTTTATTTATTTATTTTTAATTAGACCAGAGAGGGATAGAACGAGAGAGAGAGAGAGAGAGAGAGAGAGAGAGAAAGCAAGTCGCCAAGTCTGGGACTTGAACTATGGTCAGTCAGCCTTAACCACCACGCCACTTGCCGGCCCCTAGTCTGCACTTTTAAAACTTTTAAAATCAACTTTAATAAAATTTTTAGAAAATGAAACAATCACTATTAAATCATGCTTTCTCTTATGTCCTGTATAGCAAGGTGAGATAAACAAATATAAGCTAACCTATAATTACAGGCATCTCACAATAGCATGGTCACAGCTGTAGATGTATTTTACTAAGTAAACTACATTTCACCAGAGCAGCTTTATTGGAACATGATACCTAAGCTCCATCTAGAAAATTAAAGGATAAATAAATTGAAATGCAATTGTACTTTTAGAATCCCAACTACACATAAACCAAGGGAAACGATTTAGCCCCGGATAACTAAGACTTCTGCTTTAAAACTGTAATGACCATCTTTTTTGTTGTTGCCGTTTTGCTATACGGGACATGTGCTCACAAGAGAGAAAAAGGAAAGTGAGAAATTATTCCCCGGGGGGATGGCCACACTGCAGCTGCTTCTCCTTCATTCTCCTCTCGGACTTTGGAAATGTACACACAAGTACCTGGTGTAAGCTTCAAGCCAATCCTGGGTCTGGGATTCGAACCATGTGGCCAGCCATATGTGATTCCACTGACTTAACCTCTATGCCACCTACCGGTCCATCTTTTTTGAAAACAAAACTTTCTATTCTCTGATGGGATTTATACATTTGTGATCATACTTCTTAAATGTGAGCTCAAAATTAAAGTATCTGCCAATGCAACTAGGAGTCAGTCAGCATGTGAAGAGGTCACCTGTTCTGTTCACTGAAAGCCCAGCATGCGACGGGGCAGGGACAGGACTCGGACCGCTCTAGTCTTTCTCTCTTCTCACCTTACTTTACTCCCCTCTAGTTTTGATGCTTTAAAATGTTAAAGCAAGACCTAGGTTTGAAGCCATCTAGTATTTGGTAAATGTGTTGTGGGGAACTTGTAACTTCTTAAACCATCTTCAAAAAATACCTATCTTGAGGCCGGGGGTGGCACGTTGGTAAAATAATTGGACCCATATGGGAAGGGTTCTAGATTCTTTCAGGTTCTTTTAGGATCACGTGCACCCGTGATCCAGGCTGGTTGGGACTGAGGGCGGACTGTGGTATGGGGACACTGTTAGGCGTGCCTGTCTCTTAGACTCTCTAACTCATGAAGATAAACAAAAATCAAAGTCTGGGGCTGGCCCCACAGTGCAGTGGTGAAGTGCTGTGCACAGAAAGCTGGATCCCACATAGCCAACTTGGGCTCAAATCTCAGGCCTGGCAGCTCAAGAAACATGCCAGGCACACATGTGAATGTGCCCCGAATCCCACCAGAATGAAGAAATGAAGTAAAAAAGACTGTGGTGTGACCATATCCCATTGCAGAATGCTTTCTTTCCCCCACCCCTTCCCACACACCCTCTGGCAAAAACAAACAAAATAAAACAAAAAACTTCCTTTGAAGTATGCTTTATGTTTTTAAAGAATTATTTTATTTACCTTTATTTATTTGTTATTTTTTAATTTGCCAGAGGGGGACAGAGCAAGAGAGAGAAAGATTGGGAAGGTGAGAAAGCAAGCCACCAGGTCTGGGACTCAAATCGAATGGTGGTTGGCCATGTGGGAGTCCAGCACCTTAACCACCACACCACCTGCTGGTTCCTTTTGGTATATGTTTAAAAGGTCTCCTCTCAAATATTAATTTCTACTCTAGCAGCTTTAATTTTTCTTGGTATAAACTACCCTTTACATTGGTTGTGTACTATAAAATATTAACTTTATTTAAATTAAAAAGGCATTACTTTTTAACTGCTTGATTCCTCTACTTAGATACATACATGATTCTTAAGGAATATATAAATACACATATTTCTCCATTTTCCAACTTAGTGTTTCCTATCTAAACTTCATAATCTGGGCACAGGTAAATGTTAACTGGTCTTATTTATTTTTTTTTGAGAGGTTTTTGCTATAGGGTGTGTGCACTCGCCAAAGACAGAGAAACAGAAAGTGAGATATCACCCCCCCAGGGGGGATGGCCACGCCGCAATCCCTTCTCCTCCATCCTCCTCTCGGGCTCTTGGGCACACACGGCGCCCGGCGTGAGTTTTAAGCCATTAGGTCCAGGATGCCAACCACGGTCAACTACATGGGAGTCCAGCGACATAGCCATTATGCTAACTGCTGGTCCCTTAACTGGTCTTATTTTAAAGTGAAAAACCATGTCTGTGATACCATTAACATAAAATTGTGTAATTTATTACTCATTAATCTAAAGGGATTTTCCGAGTATGAAAAGTTGCACAACACATCTATATTCAATTCGCTATGCTATGGGTTTTAATGGCCCATAACCTAGGAATATTTCACTAATCTGCATCCTGTAGTGAGGTCACAGTCTGAATCTGTGACATGTTTAGGATATGAGACAGACTATCCAATGGGGCCGGCAAGTAGTGTGGTGGTTAGAGGTGCTGGACTTCCACATGCCTGACCGCAGTTCAAGTCCTGGACCTGGCGGCTTGCTCTCTCTCTGGTCAAATTAAAATAAATAAATAAATAAACAAATACAGATTTAAAAAAAAAAAAAAAAGACATTATCCTAAAGCCCTGTATTTTACTGCACAGACACCAAGACAGAGACTGACAGCGGCACCCAGGTGAGTGTGTACCTCAGGTCTCTGGGCATGTGAGGGGACTTCAAGTTGTTCATGGAAAAGTAAACTTAAACTACACTTTTCTTTTGGTGCAAAAAAAAAAAGGAAACCCAGGCATAGTTTTTCATAGTATATATTTTCCATAAACTTTTTGAAGACTTCTTATAAGTCACTAAGATAAAAAATGGGAGAAGTGTATGAAATAGAAGGTAGGTGATGTCATTACTAAAATAATCTAATAAGTTGAAAAGTGTAACAGACCATAATATGTCAGTCATTGGGAACTCCCTCAGCAGTAGCAATACTCTTTGAAACTTCTCCTGTCATCAGAGGGTCCCCTTGCCAGGTGCCCTATGTACTTTCCAAACTGCCGGGGCTGGGATTCAAACCATGCCCTTTGACCATGTGGGATCTGGTTCCCTTAACCACTAGGCCATGAGGTCAGCCCTAAACCTTATTTTAACATAGCTACAGATTTTCCTTTCTAACTTGTAGTTTAAAAAAAAAGCGGGACCAGCAGTTAGCGTAATGGCTATGTTGCTGGACTCCCATGTAGTCAACTGTGGTTTGAGGGCCAGACCTGGCGGCTTAAACTCACACCAGGCGCGTGTGCGTGCGTGCCCAAGATCCCGAGAGGAGAATGGAGGAGAAGGGATTGCCGTGTGGCCATCCCCCCTGGGGGGTGATTTCTGCCTTTCTGTCTCTCTGTCTCTGTCTGGCGAGCACACGCGCCCTATAGCAAAAACCTCTCTGGAAAAAAAAAAAAAGGGACCAGCAGTTGGCGTAATGGCTCTGTTGCTGGACTCCCATGTAGTCAACTGTGGTTTGAGGGCCAGACCTGGCGGCTTAAACTCACACCAGGCGCGTGTGCGTGCGTGCCCAAGATCCCGAGAGGAGAATGGAGGAGAAGGGATTGCCGTGTGGCCATCCCCCCTGGGGGGTGATTTCTGCCTTTCTGTCTCTCTGTCTCTGTCTGGCGAGCACACGCGCCCTATAGCAAAAACCTCTCAAAAAATATATATATATGTGTATATTGGGGCCAGCAGGTGGTATGGTGGTTAAGGACGCTGGAAATGGACATTACAAACTGTGGTTTGAGTCCTGGACCTGATGGCTTGCTTTCTCACTTTCCCTTTCTCTCTGTCTCTCTCTAATTAAAAAATAACCATAACAAATAAAATTAAATAAATAATTCTTTTAAAAAATCTTTTCATATTTCCCACTCAACTACAGAATTACTCAGATGCTTATCCCACCTTTTATCTGCTTCCTCCAAATTCCTTTTTTTTTGGTTTCACCATAGTGATTGTGCACACTCTGAGAGAGACAGGGAGAGGAGGAGAAGTGAGAAATCACACCCTCCCCTCCCAGAGGGGATGGCCATATGGCCATGCCGCAATCCCTTCTTCATTCTTCCCTCAGGATTTTGGGCACATGTGCACAAGCGCCCAGCATGATTTTCAAGCCATTGGATCCAGGACTTGAACAGTGGTCAGCCACATGGGAGTCCAGCACTTTAACTACCATGCCACATGCTGACCCCGCCCCCCTACAAATTACTTTAAAAAAAGAGAATTACTTCATATCTATCTATCTATTTATTTATTTAAAATTTGACCAGAGAGGGACAGAGAGAGAGAGGAAGTGAGAAAGCAAGCTGCCAGGTCCAGAACTTGAACCTTGGTCGGCCATGTGGGAGTCCAGTGTCCCTAACCCCATGCCACCTGCCAGCCCCACAAATTACTTTTTAATCGTACCAATTAAATTTGGAATTCACCGTTCAAAACTTAAAATGTGACAGTTTCTATATACTTTATATCAAACTCTCATCTGAAATTTCTGGGTATATATTGAAAACTGTTAAATATAGTGGGCCACCTATCAGAATTGTCGATGTCCTTGAAAACATTTGATTTTCCCTACGGAATCCAAAAAGACCAAGTTAATCGATGTCTGATTTTTCCCACAATTTAGCACTAAGAGATCAAGACTGCAAGTGACCCGAGCTCATTTCTCTGTGCTGGGTCAGCAGCTCCACGGGGATAATGCAAACACTGCACTTCATGAGCCGTTGCCAATAAAAGGCTGGCACATGCAGTTTGATCTCTCATCCACATCCAAGCCCGGGTGAAGAAACAGAATACAACTTACAGCAAAATAAGTTGAGCTGTGGCTCAAAGACCCTAGTTTCTGAAAGGCTAGGAAAAGCAAAGCTGAATCAGTCTGAGAAGTTCCGGAGTGAACTGACTGACTGCGACTGGCCGTTCAGGCATACTGTTAGAGAGTCGAGGACATTAAAAACCTACGTTCCCATGGAAAAAAAATCTGATGATTTTCACATTCTTTTGGGATTAATACATATTTCTATCATATCTCAAACCTATTTATTGTCTAAGCACTTAGTTATAACATTCTAAATTTAAAATTTTGAGTGTTAGTACAGTCTTTTCATAAGGGCTACAAAACTTTGAGAAAACAGCTCTCTCACACCGTTACAGATAAATTTAGTGCCGTAACACAGAAATAAAAATGAATGAGCCGTTTGTCTGAAATAACACACACTCAAAAAAGAACTGGAACGGCAAAATTTCCATTCTAACTACAAAATCAATGAAAGATCTTTATTACAGATCTCAAAAGCCAGATCGCCTGGACTGGGAACAACTGACAGGGAAGAAAGTTATTAAGCATACTAGGTTACAAGGCTACATGACAAAAGCAGGTTATAATTCGGTTCATGTCACTTCAGTGTAGGAGAAAAAATACTCCTGTGCATTTATGTTTATAAACACAAAGTGTTACAATAGAAAAAAATAGGGGACCTTCACTTTCATAAATTCAGAAGGATACAAAAATTCTGTCAAAAATGCATGACATTTTTAATTTTTAAAAAGCTAAAAATCAACATATTTACAGCATTAACTGTAGTTTCACATTCTTCTAAAGGACAATATATTTCTTTCTTTTTTTTTTTTTTAAATAAAGGGTAAGGATTAGCTTGGCATGGTGGTTAAGAGGTGTGGATCCCATTTGGCTAACCACATGGGATGAACCCCAAGTCCTGAAGCTTAGAGAAACAGCCAGGAGCAGTGGACCCCAAATCCTGAGAGAACAAGGGCTTGTGCTTGGCCATCTCTCCAGTGGGGCGCTTTCTCACTTTCACCCTCTCTCTTCTCCCCTCCAAGCACATGCACCCTCTACAAATTTCTAAAAATAATTTTTTAAAAAACCTCGTTACCATTATATCTACCTAGATAAATTTAAGGGAAAAACACAGGATTTATGTCCTGAGTCTCATTCACTGTTTAAACAGGCTCATAAACTTACTGGCTACTACTGGGTCTTGAGATAGGCAAAAGCTTTTTTTCTAATTTGCACTATCTGGATCTAGTGACTGCATTTTCTGATTCTCAAGTGCTGTCTTTGGACAGCACTGTTCACAGATAAAGGTAAACACGACCTGGTTGCACCAGTCAAAGCCCCTAGGACGCACAATTTTCATCAAGCCAGAAGCAAGCAAAAAAGCTGGACTGCGGGCACTGCCCAACGCTGGCTGGCGCACTCCACATCTTAATCCTAACACTTTGTGCAAACCTTAGGCCCCTGCCCTATTTCAGGGAAACCGGACGGACGCAGGTGAGGTGAGCTGACTGTGCCACTGACGCAGCCCGTGAGCCACCAACGCCGGAGCATCCTCCGAGCAAACAGAAGGCGGCCCACCTAGGGGCGCACCGCGAGTGGGAGACTTGGACTATTCTTGTTGGAAAGGCTAAAAACGCTTTCCTTAAAGCAGCCTGGGGTGAACTGCAAGTTACACATCCCGTCAACCCTGCATGCTGACAACCCTGCAGACTGGAAAACGACGCCGGCTGCCCTATGGAAGCTGCCAAGTGAGGCCGGTGAAGGTGCCGGGCATGGAAGGCGCTGGGGATCCCGCGCCTACCCTCGGGCTCTGACGTCACAGGGACCCCGCGCGGTCAGCAGGCCCTCACTCTGCACAGTGACCTGCATCCCAGACCCCGGTTCTCCGCACAGCCCAAGCTCCCACCCCCAGGAGGAGGAGGAGCCTCCTTACCACCAAGCTTCTCCGTCAGCCTCCCGACCTGAATCTTGCAGAGGTTGGGATGGAGGACGGAAAGGTCCCTCCCAGCTCTAGACTTGGGAGCCCCAGCGGGTACGAACCCCAGGTGTCTCCCTCACACCCCTCTAATTATACGCCTCAACTTCCCCTAACTTGTCATAAAGCTCAGTTCCAGGATTCTGAGACCCCCTACTACCATCCCTGCACTTCCCCCCCGCCCCGAAGACTCGGGGAGACGGCAGAAGGGGTGCACCCCCCTGCGCCTCTGCTCCTACCTTCCGGGCCACAAAGACCCTCAACTCAACTCAAGTCTTCCCACAGCCCCTACCCCTTTCTGGCACCGGTCCCAGTGACCCCAGTCTCACAGTAGGGTCCAGGGACTGCTAAGGAGGGGTGACCTCCGTGACCTCATTCTCCTTCCTCTCCCACCCGGGCGTCCAAGTGCCGGGGGGGACCCGCGTACCGGGCGGCTGCGGGCCGCCCCCGGGGCTGTCGGG